TGGCCCCCTCAAAGCGCTGGTAGCTAAGGTAACTTTTTGAAACTCGTGCACGGGGTAGAGCATGAAGTGGTCATCCAATTTTTCCAAAAAACTGGTTACCGGTGAGTTTCCATTAAATGTTGCTTCTGGTTTCATCGAAGCGCGCATGGTCTGGACGATGTAACCAAATCCTTCCAGGGCGGCAGCTGGCATTTCTGGATTCTGAGCCGCTTCTGCAGGCAGCACAGGTTCTTCTTGAAACTCGGCCATGGTTATTCTTCTTCGTTGGGCGCCACTATCAGGTTCAATGTTCCGTCTTACTTTCTTCGGGAACATGCAAGGACCTGACTCGGAACAGAGAGCTTACTAAAGCTATGTTCAATAACTGTGGGAAGTAGACAGGATACACAAGAAGGGTATACAAAAACCCTTTATTTTTTTCTATTTACAATAACTTCCGTACTTCGGAATACAAAGACCCACTACTTGTGGTCTAAACGTAAAAATATAAAAATAAAACTAAACTCTAATTTAACTTTAAAATAATAAACGTGGAAGATTGACCTTATATTAACAGGAAGCCGTATGTAGTACAGAGAACTGTGAACACTACAATACGTTTAAAAATTATCAAGAGGATTAAACCTCTGGCCTGGAAGGCAACCAGCAACTGAGTAAAACTTCTAAGGTAAGCGGCCTGCTTCGACTAACTGCTTCCTCTCTCTCGCTTGGCAAAAAGCCACAACTTAAATACTTGGCGCTCGCCAGACAAACTTTGCATAAATACGTTAACGCTTATAATTCTGGCCGGAAGTAGAAAATAAGAAGTGATAGTAAAGATTTAAAATAAAATAAACGTTAGTAAAACTTAAGATCCTTACAACCTTAAGCATTATGTATTTACATGGCCACTATTAAATTTTATTTTTTAACAATATTTGTTAAAAAGCCCTATTAAAATCAAAATCTAATAAAATTTCACAGTTTAAAATACATGTAATTTATGACATTGATTCTTAAATGCCATTAGGATTATTACACACTAAAAGCTACAAAACATTTATGTTTTGTAACAACAACACTTAACAAAATATTTATCCGTCATTTTAATTGGAAGACTTCCTAGACATTTTGGCTAGTTTATATCGATTTCCTTCTCTTTAAGCATCTTTTCTAACAATTAGAAATTTGTCTCAATATATATATATATATAAAAAGCTCTCACTAGTTTCTGTGTGCTTTATCTTCTAACTTGTCAACCTTTCCACAATGTACCTATGAGGGTTTACTTGATCTGGTAAATGTTATATAGTCCAAAACCCTCCGACAGACGTGAAGCATATTATTGCTATGTCTGAAAATAACTACAATATCAGACAAAGGTTTAAATAAGCCTCTTATTTAAAAAGAACTTAGAACCTAAAGGCATGTTTTGATGCTAACAAAATCAATTACAGCTCACGGTGACATAATTAAACAAGAACAGTCAAATTCAATCTAATAATGTGGATTAGTGGTCAAAGATTATACAATTTAATTTAAATTTAATCTGGCTCAAATGAGGAAATAGAAATGGGAAATTATAGTAAAGGCTGAAATCATAAACAATTGGGTAATTTACATAATAATAACTGCACATATCTTTGAAGAATAATTTTCTTTATACACTCAGTTTCTTTCAACATGTTTCCTTTTCATTTTAGAATTTTTGGATTTAATTAAGGATTTCTGTTATTTTAAAAAACACTAAATGCATTTAGATTGTTCAGAAAATGTGGCTAATTTTATTTTAGTAATATGAACATTCAGAAGAAATATGGAATATATATGGTAAAGGCCGGTTACAAAGCTGATGTGGCAGAATTTTTAGAATTTACTAACAAACCGATTAACAAAATCTAGAAATGGCAAAACTTTTAGAATTTAGAGCAAGCATTGGAAGCAAAATTTAGAAAGGCACTAGGCAGCAGAATTTAGGATCCACAGAGATTGCATCTGGTGGGAAAATGCCTATTTCCAGCTATGTGTATGATGCATTAAGACATATTAGATGAATCTTTTAAATTGTAAGTTTTCAACTTCTTTATTAATAAAAAAACCCCTTTCTATAATGCCTGCCCATGTGATAAGATTAGAAGAATTTTTGATATTTTCCATGCTTATGTCTCGTGAAAAGTAGAGAAAATAAAGGGAAGATAAACATGTTAAGATTCTAGTATCAGAAGTAAAAACATTCAAATATTATGTTTCCATTGTTCTTCCAGACGTTCTCCAAAAAGTAAGAAATTCATTGCAAACTTTCTGTAAAATACATCCATTACGTGTTGATACCATGGAGACATTTTTCATTTTGTCACATATTTCTCGAACCTTCTAGAATCATGGGTCTATAAATCCTGCCTTCAAATTCTTCTAAACTTTCCAAGCTGCAATGTCTAAAATCCTAAAGAAAAATTATCCCTACCAATTCTGTAACAGTAAAAAGGCAGAAATATTTTGGAAAAAAAAGAGAGAGGGAAAAAGGTGTAAAATTAATTTTATAGAGAAAACATGCATATTCTAAGAATTTTGAATATTCTGAGACAATTACATGGGAAAAACTCTTACTATGAAAAAATTAAAAAGAAGACATTTTAATTAATTAGTACTTAGCTAATTTTGCTTTTGCTAAGAGCTGTTTCGTAAATTGTGCTTTATAGCATTATACCTTGTTTATTTTCAGATTCAAAATATTGTATATTAATAAGTTGCCAAAATAAAACTTTATAATATGACAGTGAAAAATAAAAATGTTTTATTTTAATGAAATTAATCAATGTTACGATGTTTTAAAAAAAATCACTGAAAAATTCTCAGATCTCGGAATTAAAAAGTTTGTACAGAAACTGATCTTAAAATCGCCAAAATGTTGAAAAGTCGCCAAATTTAGAACGGTTAATAATGGAATTCATATCCCCAAAAGTGAAAATTTATGGAAAGAGCTGTTTATTAGAAAAAATGAATTTAAAATTGCTTATGTTTCACTTCTTGCTTAGAAACTCGAGTATCCCATCATTTATATTAGAAATAGAAACAAATTATAACTCATGAAACCATTCAAAAGATAACCATATATACGTCAGTGAATCGCCAAAAACATTCCTCCAAAATGCTAATTCACACTGAAAATGACAGTTGTAAAAACAGACAGAAATTTCATTAATTAATTGAAAATTAAGGACCTTCTGCTGATTTTGGCCAAAATTAAGGACTTTTAAGGACCAAAAATCAATTCCAAAATATCTAGGGACTTTTAAGGACTCTTAAGGACCATATGAACCCTGTTTTTAAAATGATTTACTCATACTTTTTCATGTCTGAAATAATAACGATAGTTTATATGGCACATCAAAAACAGTAACATAAGCATAATATTGCAATAATAGTTATCAATACACATTAATTCTAGGATTTCGGACAGATCAGTGTAAAATCAAATTTTTATGCATATTTGACCACAGAGTATTTTTTGCAACCTTACTTTCATAAGATATTTTTGTGAGGGATATAATATCCTAACAACTTTTGCATGGACATTACAAAACTGAATTCATCAGATGAAGTCATCTAAATTGTAGTGCACAGAAAATTGTCCAAAAAGGATGGACAGCTATGATTGTTATACCTATTCTTGACATTAGTCTTACAATCACTCGAAGTCTAATCAAATAAACCAGTCTGCGATGGATTCAAAGATTTTTATGCAGAGCAGACAGTTTTGGACAGTAGTAGCTTCACGCCTAGCAATCAAATACAATGGACAAGTTTGAAAAAACTAGATGAATGGATCATAGAAGCATAGAAATAATTTAACTAAAAATAATGGAGACTCATACCCGGGGAAGGGGGGCAAGAATTTTAATGCTATGGATGATTCTTCTTATGATTTAAACTCACAATCTTAATAAAGACATCTTCTATCAACCCATATTATCAGAGATTCTATGAATCTACTGCTACTACAAGGAACAGAAATGTATTAGACATAAAAAACTAAGCATTAATATAATAATAAGCTTATTATATATATATATATAATAAACTAAGCATAAATTTGATACAACGAACAGTGAAATTAGTTACTACATTTAATAGATTGTGTTTAATTCTGATAGGTATCAATTGTCAAATGCTGATTCAGTTTTATTTATTTCTAAAAAAAAAAAAAAAAAAAAAGTACTACTTATGTAGTATTTACCAAGAAAAATTTTCAAATTGATTAGTAAAGTATGTACACTTTTAAAACATTAAATATGCCTTTTAAAATAATATTTCCATTAACCAAAGAACTTTATATATATATACCTAAATATTTTATACTTTAAGTAAAAATCATTATATAATAATTCAAATATTTATGAACTCTTCAAATTTTTACTAATTATGGAAAAACAAAAGGAACATAAAAGATGCACACTCATGCCAAAATAAAATATTACTTATGAATACTTAATATATACAATTACATAAACTAATGTGTATTTGTCTAAATGGAAACTATAAATGTAACTCAGTTTAAATCTTTTATGATTTTATACTTATTCAAGAAGGAAAGCATAAAGTACATAAATACTGAAGAAAAATTTAAATACAATACATAGTAAAATAAAATCTTTTTTATAAGCTTCAATATATGCTTAAATAATGCATTTTCATACTTAGTAACCAGTTATTTCTAAATTTTCTTTTATGAAATTAAAAATTTAACAGATTAAATAATTTATATTTTAATGATTGAAACATGATAATAATAACGATAACAATAATAGGTATTGTTCTATTATCGAGACCAGATTCAGAAATATATGAACATATGAATGTGTGTTTGTATGTATGTGCATACATATGTATACACACACATACATTCCTACTTACATGCATACGTACATACATTTCTGAGTCCAGTCATGTTAATAAAACAATACCTAATTAGTAATAATAATAATAAAGAGCTACACAGAGAAAAAATTACAAAATCTTACATTAACAGCATTTCCCTGATCATCATCTTTTTCTTCATAACAAAAATAAACAAAGGGAAGAACAAGAAATGTATAGAAGAATATGATACCATAGAGACCTAAGATAGAAACAAAATTATATTTTTTTTCACTTTTAAAAGCATCTTTTATCATTAATATATGTACTTACAGAAGATAGAAAACTTTTGCTCCAAAAACCTTTGCTTTAAAACCTCGCAGTTATATATTTTTCCCACACATATTTTTTCTCTTGGCATTTAGCATTATCCAACCTGTTATATATTGTTAAGTAATGAGAGAAAAATATCAAACGATCATATTATATACAGATAATACAACACAAGAGGGCTCCAAAGAATATAAAAGAATTAAATGAAAAGGAGTTTGTAAAATCAGTAAGAAAGGGAATCTAATTGAACTGTCGAGAGAATATATTCCCCTGCCTCCTAGAAATATCCGAAATAAATTGCTTAGAAGAAAGTGTTTCCTCAAAAATAACTATTTTTTTTTCTTCTCCTTCTTGTTCTTTTTTTTTTTTTTTTTTTTTTTAATTAACTGAACAAGTAATGGGAAGTAGAAAGTTTCATAAAATCTATATATACATATACAAGTCCACAAGTCCGTAACCGGCCTTTATATTCATAGCTGTAGGTCACAGATACATAATTTCAATTTCAGATATGTTTCAAATGATAACAATATTTAACTTTCATGGCTTGACCTTTTTTAATTTAAAGAAATCAATTTTCCCCAAATTACAAAATTTACCTTTTTATACACTTCTCTGGTCCCTATACTTATTGCTAGAAAACTTCTGTACTTATCATAAAAAAAAAAAAATAAATAAATAAAATAAATAAATTAGAATAATTCAAGGCTGATTCCCCTCCTCTTTTAGGCCATTCAATGATATTTTTATTGTGATTTAGTAGCACCTTTAATTTATAATTTTGTCATATTTGGTGTGCTGAAAGAAATTTTATGCAATTTATAAATTTTCAAAGTCTAAAAACATATTCATATAAAGTTTTTTGTTACTTTATAATCCTAATCTGAAAATTAAAAAAAGAAATCCTTGAACTAAACATACTTTCATCTTCAATTACTGCAAATAATACTACTACATGGCTACATGCCAATACTGAAGCCTGCCAGTATTTTTTATAATAAAAATTCCATTCAAAAGCTTCTGTGAATAAGATCTATATTTTGAAAGAATTTTCACTGATTAAAGTTTATTGAAATAATCTGCAGAGAACTGCTCATCATTTAGTCTCTTAACCTTTTCCTAAACAATAACTTACTTTTAGGTATGTACAGATGGAAGCATTTTGCTTTTCTATTTGTATATGGCCCTCGAACATGGTCTCTAATTTTAATATTAAATATCTCAGTTAATTTTTACCATAATGGGAGTTACACTTGTTGTATTTTAGTTTTTATAATAACTGCAAAATATTTCTACAGATAAGTTATATGGAATGGAAAGGAGGAACGTAGAAAAAGTTATATTTTGTAATTTTTATAAAACCAGTTTCTTCAGTTTAAAAAATACCAAAGCATGAATATTTGAATCATTTAAAACATTGGAGCTCAATAAAACAGGAAAGATCCTGCTAAAGACACTTTGGGGATAAAAATATTGACTATAAGATAAAAGGATTTCAACTATGCATAGAATTGCTCAATACTTTATGTACAAGTATAGATTTAAACTTAAAAATAAATAAATACATATGAGAGAATAAATACTTTGTGTATTAATCAGAATAACATAACACTAAGTATCCTTCTTTCATATTTAGTAAGTTCTAATCAATGAGAACATAACAGAACTTTTACTCATGATGATGATGGATTGAAGGTAATACCCACTAAAATATAATAAGTTCCCCTTCTATTTAAATTAAATTTCCCTCTTCCAATGTAGGGCTCTAGCAGTTTATACGCACTGGCCACTGCTAAGGTCCGAAGCGGTGATCTTTTTATTATGGAGGCATATAATATCTGTGCCACCACTGCCTCCTATGAAGGGAAGGACAATTTACTTCTATGCATTCATTCTTTGGGATTTGAACCTGGGCCCTTCATTACAGCAGTCAGAGTCACTCACCACCTTTCCTGTCTAGGCGGCATTTAAATTAATATCAAATTTTAATTTTGAAAATTTTTAAATTTCATATTACATTTCTTATCATTTATATGATTTCCAACACTTCCCACTGATGACACTCTTGAATGAGCACGGCTGATCTTGTGACAGAATGATCAAGATTTTTAAAGCTTATAAGGTATTTTCTTCGTCTTTTCCACATGCCTTTGTGATATAACAGGAAGCACACTCAACACATATTCAGGAGGTCCGGAGTTCAAATCCTGGTGAAAGCATATGTGGATTTCTTCAGTTTCCTGACACTGAAAGATTTTAAAAGGTCTTTACAGCGGCAGGTAAATGCAAAAGGTTGTGGACGATAATTCATCACCACCAGGATTTGGCAACTTTATGCAATGAAGACATTCAAAAATCTGTCATTCCAAAAGTCTTCTTCAGAGGTTAATGGCAGTAGAGAAAATAGATAGAAAGTTCTAAAATGCTATTTCCTAATACATTCTCTATCAAAACTGAGATACAGCTTAAACAGCTCTCTCTTTCTCCCTTTCTTTTTATCTTAGTTAAATATGCCATTTAAATACTAATACGAAGTTTATGCTGGATGTGTTTGTTCACAGCATTTATCAAGAGTAAGTCTTCTGGCCTGCAAGCTAAAATTCAAACCATTTCAGATATGGGTGGTAGAGAAAGATGAATATGAAATCTTCAAATTTTATTTGCTAGAATATATAAGTTAAACTTGGTGAGTTCAGAAGATGTTAAAGCAAGGTTTTTTTTTTTTTTTTTTTTTTTTTTTTTGTTGATAAACTAAGAGACAAAACATCTGAAAGGCACATCAGTTTGTTTCACCGTTTAAATTTTACTATTTTCACCATAGAAAATACTGACTGTAAATAAAGGTAGCATAGCTCAAGGAACTTTATGTCATACTGAATAGAAAATATTGATTTAATACATTTCCAAATAAATCTAAAATACAGTACAAAGCCTAAAATTTGTACGTCTAATCTGGAACTCTGGACAACGATGAAAAACATACATAAAAATTCCCTTGTAAAGTCTAGAAATAGAGGATGTAATAAGGAAAAAAAAAAAAAAAAGTCGACCATGAAAGTAATTTTTTCCTGACTAACTAAGATTTCTGTTTGTAATTTTCAAATTCATTGATGAAGGAATCAAATTCTGGCCAATGACAATACATTAACGTTATATTGGCATTAGCCACTTTTGACACTTAACTATGTGTATGTGTATGTGTGTGTGTAGGGGGGAGGCTTATTTTTTTATCTGACCTAAACAATAAGAAAAGCCCAAAGATATATTTATTTGAAGGAGGATGGTGCTAATATTGGTTTTCTTTTTTGAGCATAGCATCAGGGAAGGAAGAAAGAATTAGATTCAGTGGAGCCTAAGTTCAGTTAATAAGCAAAATTTGTTCTTCCTTAACTTTCTGATCTGAAGCAGCTTATTATTAATCTGGCTACCATAATTAATTTTTACAAGAAAAAATGCTCAGTGAAGATGATATAACTGAAGTCTCATAAACTAGATGACAATGCCTCAATCATAAACAATTAAATGGAAACTCGAATAACTGTAGTATGGTTTTAAATCCAAAAAATATCATAATTTTGGCTTATAAACACATTTTATTTCATATGATGGTGATCCCCCCAAAATTTTCTTTTGTAAAAGACAAAGTACCTCTTTTGTAAAGAAATATTACTAAAGAATACTCTTATTTTATAATTTCTACATGTCAACTTGCAAAATTTACAATAATCAGGAAATTTCCAAAATTGCTGAAATTCAGCCTATTCTAGATTTTGGACTTTGTACTGTATTTAATCAGGTTTTAAATTCCAATAAAATTACAAAATGAAATTATCTTTGCTTACTATAATAAGTATTAGTAACAGTATGCTCCAGAGATTCACGGGTTGAATTTGTTGCCCAGTCCTAGAAAAGGCAAAATGTTAATGTTACACAATAGAAAAATTATAATATGAATAAACATTTAATGAAAATTATGTTAATAGTATTAAAATTAAAAATAAAAGAGACCTTGAATGATCCATCAGGATTTTTCATAAATGACACTAAAAATACATCCAATGGCAAAAGAAAGGAAGCCAACAATGCAATTGTCAGGCCTATAGTTGAAGCTACAGCAGCACATTTGTCTCGTTCATAACGACACCAGAAATGCCGCACAAATAAGGCTGAGAATACGAATGTCAGCTGTAATAATTTCAAATATGTTATGCATTCAAAAAAGCTATTACTGAAATTATAAACAACATTATAAAATAAAATAAAAATTAGTTTACATCATTTTCAATATGTTCAATTTCCAAAGCCCATTTTTAACTGGTTGCCAAATAACATGTATAAAAAGCTCAATTTGCAATTTGTGGTTTAAAATTGAGAACAAATTCCAAAAGTTTCCACATAATGGATTTTACAATTAAATTAAAAAAAAAAATCTTCTGGCTACACTAAATTTGCACTCTTACAATTACCAAAATAAAGCTCTAGGTTTGCCACAAGAAAACATACCGCCAGAAACCACAACCAAATCAAAATCGCACCAAATAATTTAGAAGTGCCGGAGCCCTATGGAAGAACTTCAGTAAAGAGGAACAAGAGTAAGTAAATAAATAAAATGACTATTAAACTCATTCATAATTTTAAAATTAAATAGTTAATTATTATCAAATTAATTAATAGCTATATAATGTTTATAAATTGTTACTTAATCAACAATTATCAGATAATTAATTAATTATAATTTAATTTATTATTAGATAATTAATTATTATTTATTGAAATAATTAAAGATTGAAGTAATTAAATAATTAAAATTAAATAAAATGTAAAGAGATAAATTTAAATTTAATATGCGGTTAATATAATTTTACTGTTAAAATAAAATTTTCGAGATAAAATTTCTACTGAAATTATTATTAAATTACATAAAAGAAGTGCTGCAGCCTTCTTATTCAGGCTTCCGGTGCATTCAGGCTAGAATTATGATTTATTACCTAACAAACAAAGAAAGACCGGTGCATTAAGAAACATTAAGAAACACCGGTGCTGAGATCCTGTCGGCTCCAGCACAATTTAAGCTCTGATTGTAGGGGGGAAGTTCTTTTATCATCACAAAAATTAATATACTTAAAGTATAGCTAATGTAAATTCCAGGGCGAAATAGAATGAGGGTATGAGTGGGTGGAAACAAAAAATGAGGGGAATCTTGTGAGAGAGAATGTTCTCTTTGACTGTGGCTTTCTGCTGATATAATTATAGCCATCAAGCAGATGTGTGTCAGGGATGAAATGAGTCCTGAATCTGACTCCTAAGGATGAATGTAAAGTTTCTGGTTACAGTTCCACCCTATTAGTGGATACTGTGGGAAGACGATGAATAGGATGTGCTTCAGCAGTTTATCTCAGTATTTCACTCTTATTGTATTTGCTGTCACTTAATGCTCATTTAAGAACACAAATTTTCCTTCCTGCGAGGATAACTAACTGAAAGCATCGATAACAATACACTAGATACTACGGCATGGCGAGAAATTTACGTGTTTTTAAACAAACTCCCCCAAATTTATTACTTATCTTAAAAGGGAAAGGTTTCTGCATGTGAGTGAGGGGACTTTACTTGAACGTCTCATGGTCTCATGAGTTTGTATTTCTAGGGAAACAGCGTATTGCAAGGTCTGTTTATTGCTAAACTAAAACGTACTTTTTTACTTTTAAATTGTGGTTCAGTTTTATAAAAAGTAGTACCGGAGATCATCTTATTAGGGAACTGGTGTGCTCCAGCTAAAATTGTAATTTATCTTAAAAACTGAGAAGCTCCGGAGCTGGGCTCTGGTGGACTTTGGCGCAATTTAAGCACTGATGTATATTAGTGAATAACACTGCTGAAATTTTACTTCTCCTAAATTAGAACACTGCTATTATGCAGTTTATTGTTGAGAATGTTGCCAGTATGATTTTACAAATGATTTAATATTTAGGGACTAAAAATTTTTAAACATACAAGACTTAAAGTTCAGTATTTTTCAAAATATATACAAAAAGGGGGAGGGGAAAGGGCATTTAATTTTTCTTAATAACACAGAATTTTAAATCTTTTGCCGTCCTCTCCTGTCCGCAAAAATTTTCCCCCAGCGGCCGTCTGTTTTTCGCAGTGTGTAATGTTTTCTCTGTACATCATAACTTCCCATACATAACTTTCGTAGTGGATGAATGTTAATGAATATTAACTAAAATTATAAGGAAATAAAGCATAATGGAAAAATAATAATATCTCTGCTTATTTCTAACAGCAGGATAATTTGATAATATCTGATCCAGGCGGGTCCACTCCTCCCATTTTGTTGTTGTAATCTTTTACAATTATTGGTTTTTTTACAGTTCTGTGTTCGAACATCAATCATCGAGTTATTATGGACTGTACTCATCAAACGTATATCCGTCTTGTCTTTCCAATTCACAACCTCATTCTCTTTTTCTGCTGAGTAGACGTTAAAGCCATCTCTTACTGTCTTGTATCTTATGTAAAATGGCACGAATATTCATAAAACCCAGGGCAAATTCAATTAGAAATAGAATGCCTGATTAGTGGTACCTTCTAGGAGGTATAATGAAGAAGAACGCTTGAGGTGCGTTACGGACGCCCTGTGGAAGTTTCACTTGAACGCGCCAGATGCGTTATGAACGACGAAGAGGTTAAGTTGGGCAAAGATTAAGATCAATAATGTTATTAATAGAAAAGTATATTATGCAGTACCAGAGATTAATCCTTTTACTTATAGGCTCATGGTGATTCTTTCAAAATGAACAAAATATTTTTTTAACTGAATTTTGTTTAATTTAAAAAGATGAGTGTTCATTTGTTTCAAGTAATTTACCATTAAAGCTGAGTTCAGATTATGGTATAAAGGGCATAAGGGGTTTAAGCCTAGTTGTGTTGCCAGGCAACCAGTCAGTGCTATGTCACAAAATCTGGTTCAGGGTTCTTGGCATAAAGTTTGAAGTTTTCAACTTTATGCCAAATTAGGATAAATGTCAACCAATCAGAGTGAATGCACGAAATCTGAATGGAAAAACAGAAGAGAAAAGACGTAGACACACCCAAGCACGCACAAGTTTAGCTTCTCTAAATGGGTATGGCTTAGACCCTGTGTCGCAGGTGTGAACGGAAGTTCCGCATTTTATTCCTTGTGACTATACCTCTGTGACATTCCTGCCACCGTCTGAATGCAGCTTAATGTGAAGAAAGTTAATTTTTTATAAATAAACATTGATATCAAATGTGTACTAAAGCAAAAATATAAATTGATCACGTGCACACACAAACACAGATAAGCAAAAGAGGCTATCAGTATGCATTAATGTTTCATGATAAAAAAGTCAGAGCTATATAATAAAATTAATAATAATATTAAAACATATTTTTAATTGCATGCTCTAAATCTGAAATATCAGGGATTTTATTTTGCAATGTTCGGAAAAGGAATTATATAGAATAATTCTTACATAAATATACATAAAATAATTAATCACAATTATAATTTAAGATTAAATAGAATTCAGAAAACAAAAGATTAATTTAAAAAAGAAATAATTATAAAATGTTGTTTCTCCTGAAATGCACGTTTCCCTAGTCTTTTTTTCATACTAAGCATTTTTGACAAAATCATTAAGCTTTTATATTAATATCTTCTCTTTTAACTGCAAAAATTATATCATAAAAGACTTCAGAAAATACTCAGGCTACTATCAAAATGATATGCAGTAATTATAACATGTAAATTTATGATATTTTAATGAAATACAGTGGTTTTCACCAAATAATTCTAGGTATGAAGAAAATTATAATTTTCTATAAGATAACCCCTCATGACTAGTGGATATGGTCATCTTAAAGAGGTGAAATTCAAAACTATTTCTTATTTATATTGTTAGAAATACTGCTAATTTTCAGAAGTGGTTATCCTACATGACCATCATGACAAGATTTATTGTATTTTGAATATGAAGACTAATAAGTACATAAATTGATAATGTGCTTTGATAAATAAATGAAAATTAGATTAAGAGGGAAAATCACAATGATCATACCATAATGAGTGTGTGTGTGTGATTATGGCAAAGCCTCGATGGCTACCTGCCTAAGGGAAGGGATGCCTTCGTTGATGACTTTTTAATGGAACTGGCTCATATACACGTGGGGAAACTATGAAAACGCCCATGCAGCCAGCCCATTCGCGGGATTCAAACATCGGACTGAAGTACCAGTGTTCAGCGACTTTACCGCTCGGCCGCTATTACCATAATTCATACCATAATGAATTAACATTTTTTTTTTATTTGCTGGAAGTCATACATGCTAAACAATTAATAATAATAATAAAAAAAAAAACTTTTTACCTGAAAAAGACAGAAAAACCAATTACTTCTTTCTACATTTTGAAACTGCACAATATTCCATTTTGGAATGATGCATATAATGTTTCATGTTTGTAGAAATGAAAACTTATAGAATAGATCTCACACTTGTAACTATTTTTTGTCTCTTTTGAATATTTATAATTCTCAAAAATATTGTAGACAAGTTATTGACACTAAAGTTTTATAATACTAATAGTTAACTAGTGAGTGTGTTCTTATAAAACAGCTTCAAAAATTGATTGGCATGTTCCACAATAATCCCTTGTATAAAGATTAGCTTTTCTTACTGCTTCCTCCATAATTTATATTTCACTTTGAACTGTTTTCTGCAATGCAAGAAAATCATCAAAACAAACTAAAATATAACACTAAAAATAATGCACTCTTCTGTTATCTCAATCCGGTCCTGATAACAGAAGAGTACCAAAATTAAAATTAATTTTGCCCATAAGAGTCCTGAGGAAATCAAAATTTCTTATCACACATTGCCAACAGTTAACAGCATGTTTGAGGCAGTGGTGGAAACAGATGAAAGGTAGCTAGCCCTTTCCAGTACACTAGCGAACATAACTTAACCTCCACTCATTTATGCAAAGACCCAACTATAACTGAAAGGTATGCATTTTCTAAAGAGGTAAAATAATGTTCCTTTAAATGCTTTTTAATGTTAGATAAAAATATACTTGAATATATATAATTTAGTAAAGTAATAGAGAATATAAATGAAATTATCTCCGAGGAAATGCAAAGTGAAATTTAGAAAACAAATTTGTAAAATTGTGGTCCAGTGAAAATACAAAATAAAAGAATAACATACTAGAATTATTGCTGATTCCATAGAAAGATCTCAAATTATCACAGGGAAATACAGGGGTTGGACAAAAATATGGAAACACCTTTAAAAAAACATGTTTGCTTAATATGGTGTAGGAAACCCGTTGGCATCCAAAACAGCTTGCAGTCTTCTCGGAATGGATAAATACAGTTCCTGTATGTTTGCCAAGGGAATATTATATCATTCTTCCTGCAAAACGGTGGCAAGTTCAGATAACGATGTTGGCGGTGGATAACGAGAACGCACTTTCCGTTCCAATGTAGACCACAAAGGTTCGATAATATTCAGGTCTGGTGACTGTGGTAGCCAGGGGAAATGGGACAACTCATCCTCGTGCTCAGAAAACCAGTCCTGGACAATGTGAGCTGTGTGAACAGGGGCTTCGTCGTCTTGGAAGACACCATCACCATCGGGGAACAAAGTTTGTACCATGGGATGAACTTGATCGGCCAAAATGTTCACATAAGTCTTGGCAGTCATGTGCCCTGACACAGCTATCATGGGGCTAGCAGAAAACCACGATATGGCTGCCCAAATCATAACAGAACCCCTGCCATGTTTCACTCTTGGCAACAAGCAGTCTGTATTATAGGCTTGAGATGGCGTTCTTCAGACGTAAACTCGGCCAGAAGTGGGAAACAATGTGAAAGAAGACTCGTCAGACCATATTACTCGCTTCCACTGCTCTATAGTCCAGGCTTTATGACTTAAACACCACCTTTTCCTGTTACGGGCATTAGCATCACGGATGAGTGGCTTCTCAATTGCAGCACGGCCAGCAATTCCCTGTTTATGAAGCTCTCTTCTAGTTATTTTGGTACTCACAGGGTTCGGTAACACAACATTCATTTCAACAGTAACTTTTGCAGCTGTGGTCTTCTTATTTTTCGTCACAATTGCCCTTAATGAACGTCTGTCACGATCACTCAGGACACACTTTCGTCCTCGCTGTGATTTAGCAGATGATGTTTTTCCGCTTTTCAAATATGCGGAATAAATCTTCGATACAGTACCTCTTGAAACACTAAACACTCGGCTACCTTACTTACGGAAGCACCTACCATACGTGCTCCAACAATTTGCCCACGTTCGAAGTCTGTTAACTCTGACATAATGCAATGACAACCTCACATAACAGTACTCTGACAACAACTGAACTGTTTAGAACATTTACGAAGTTGTATAGGTGGCGTCAGTAGTCAAAAATGCCAGCGCCACCTACATATTTCATTAAAATCAATCTTTCTTTTCAAACATGCATTTCACAAGGTGTTTCTATATTTTTGTCCATCCACTGTAGAACCTCTTTATACAGCCAACAACAATTTATAAGCATCATCTTGCGTATATGAACAAATCTCTTTTCAATTTTACATTTCTTTTCAATTTTATAATATCCAAATTACATCTTGAATATACATATAAATATCATGTTAAGGTTTAATATGTGAGAGAACTAGTCATTAGTAGCCTAATCTCCCTAGTCTTCTAATGACATACAATTAATTATTTTACATTAGAATATAAAATCATCTTTTTCAGTTCTTAAAACCTTCTTGCATTATTATTGTTATTTAAACCATGGCTACTACCAAAGACATAAAATTAGAAAGTTGTAAATAAATTTTTAAACTGTTAGAAAAAGGAAAAATCTATACAAAAAATTACTAAAATATTACTTTAAAACATTTAACAAATTTGATACAATAAAAGATTAGTCAAAAGTAAAGCATAGTTTCATTAGCAGAACATGTTGCAAGAGCTATGATATAAAAGAATGCACTATCTGTTAAAATTATAAACTTAAGTTTATTAATACAAACATATTTTGATAGGAAGTTTGAAATCATCAACCTAAAGAGTCAATCTGCAAAATAATTCTAAATTTTATGAAGACAGTGGCTCTAAGCATGCTATGATGCTGTGAATGTACAACTCTGGCTATCATATAATTTTTCCTGAAGTAATCGAAATACTTTCTCAATGTTCTGATTAAATCTCTGTTAAATAGTATATCTATCATTAAATACAATTATAAATCTCAAACAAAAGATGGGTATTTATTACATTTATATTAATATATGCTACATTAATGTGATCTACACAGAAACATAATATTCTATAGAAAAGTCAACACAAATCTTTGCTGTATTCAAATAATCAAATCAAATCTTAGAAAAGACATTAGACTCGTTTAGATTTAGAGAATAATGCAATGTTTTTCCTTGAAATGCTATTTCTCTAAAAAATATGTGTATTAATCTTCTTTTTAGACCAAGGAATTTTTCTAAAAATAAATTATTAAGCTTCAATATTCATAACTTCTCCTTTAGCATGGAAAATTATGTCACTAAATTCTGTGATCATTGCTCAAAGCGGAAATAAAATCATATGCAATAAATACAGTATTATGTAACTATTTTACGTCAAAATAATTAGCTAACTCCAATATAAGATCAGCAAAGCAAAACCTGGCAAATAATAATAATAATAATTCAGTTGAATCATCTCTGAAAAGATTTAATCATATTTAATCCAGTAATCCACTAACATATTAAAAATATTTTTATTCGATTAAATAAAGTTATTTTTTTAGCATTATTTTTAACTCTCCTCTAGGTTAGAGTAAAGAGAAGGGTACTCCTTGAATTATACGAAAGTCTGAAGTACCTACAATATTGCTACTTGCTAAATGCAAAATATTGATTTCCTCCTTCCTCATACTGATGATTCATTTAATTGGGTTGACTTTAAAAATGGGATTAATATTTGTCAACTTTTGTGAGGCATTATGTACACATATATTGCATATATTATATATATGACCATACCGATAACTAACGTTTTGCTTACTTTTGTAACACAACTGCAGAATGAACATACTGATAATTAACATTTTAAGCTTTTTCTTATCAAAATATTTACACAGTATAATTATTAAATATATCATACCAATATTACAACAACAAACGGTATCCAGCCGTACGCAGATACATATGCTGGCAAATTATTTGTATCTTTTAATATATTTTTAAACAGATCCATAACTGATAATATACACTATGCTAATAAATTATAATAATGAAGAATGTGCAAATATTTCCAGATTTTAATAACTATGACTTATGTCACAACTGCCACTCAGATGATACGATTGTTTGTTTTGATGCCAAATATATGAACTGTAATTTGTAAATGTTAAAAATATATGTATATTTGTTTATTACGTTATGTATGTACATAAAGTATCCAATTAAAAATCGGAATGCTTTATAGTTCGTTTTAAATTTAGACTACACTTATGGCTGAGTGTAAGAATGGTATTTTAAACAAAGTAGCAATCCTTTTAAATTAAATTTCAAAGTTGAGATTGGCAGTAGCTTATGCTGTAAATAATAACTTTTAGCGCCAAATTTTGGCGCGCGAAGGGCTGTGATACTTGCTTTGTAATTTGTTTCATTTTGTTTACTAACATTATGTTTATTTAATTATCATTTTAAAGAAATATTTATAGTTTTGAATTAGATTTTCAACGCGTACCTTTTTGCGAGTAACTTTTTTTTTCTTATGCTATTGTCGGAAATATTTAATATAAATACGTGCGTTTTTAATTTGAACAACGGCAGGATATTTCTGCAGAATTTCCCTTTTTGATAAGTTATAAATATCATTCAGTTAAAAATGAAACGAGCTTAATCTAATTTTTTATTGCATACTAAAAAAAAAAAACTTTGTAACATTAGGAGGGGGAAAAAGCAGTAAATAATTTTTATATGCTCTATTAACGTAGGGATAACGAAGAATGATTAAAACTTAAGTTACCAAAAAAAAAAAAAAAAAAAAAAAAAAAAAAAAAAAAAAAAAAAAAAAAAAAAAAAAAATGCTGTTTTGGGAAAAAGGAAGTACAGAAATATTCAAGGAACTTTTACTTATACTAAAATAAGATATTTTACTATATAATAACCTTTGTGCACATTTTATAAAAACATATATTACTAAAAACTTAGTTTATATTATGGTTTATAATGATGCATGGCGTAATATACTAAGAAATATGTACTATGTTGTAAAAAGTATTATTTCAGTATATTGAAAGAGGATCGTCAAGCAGTTTGTAGTTTTGAACTGGCTTTATTTAATATATGATTTATTTAATATATGATTGGCTTTATTTAATATATGATTGGCAGTGGATATTACGAAAATGTTTTATTTTAAAACAAAATTATCCCTTTTTCTTTCTACCTCCTCTTAATAATGTTGAATTATATTTAAAATGCATTCCTCTTCTTATATACTTTTTGTAATTTTTGTATTTCACTCTGTACATTACCGTAATCTAGTTAGATGACAATTGGTGGAGACTTTTCACATATTTATAGGGAATTTTGGGTTTTACTGGTTTTGAATTAATTTATTTTATTTAAACTTGTTGGCCTTTTTTTAAAAAATATTTGTGTATACAGTAAAATCCTACTTAATGCAGGGATTACATTCCATCACAGTAGAGCATTATATGAAATAGCATTAAACGAGGTCATCTCATCATGTAAATAATGGGGTTAGGGTAAAATGGATATATATATATATATATATATATATATATAAATCAAATATTTTGTTATTTAAATAAGTTAAATGGGTTTTTTATAACACTACTAAATGAAACCTTATTTCTTACAAATATTGAAACATAAAAAATGAATATATAGATATAAATAAAATTTTAAGTCACCATTTATATTTTAGATCATTCGTATTTTCTGCATTTCCACAATTTTCTGTTTTTTTTAATCAAGAAGGTATCTAATGTCATTTGCATTTTTCTTTTGTGCTACATGAAGTTGTCCACAAGGGGACAAGGCATCCATGACACCCACCTTGCCTTTGAACTCTGCATCATTTTCAATAAATAATTCTATAATTTCTGGCAGTGAAGCTGAACTGGTTTTTAAAAATTTCTTAGAAAGTTCTTTTTGCTCTTCTTCAGAATCGCTATTTTTAATAATTTTGTGTTTTTCTTGATCTGCTAACTCCTCGAGCTCATCATTAAAAGACATTCTGCTGTTTCTTGAAAATTTCTTCGAGATCTTCCACATTTACTTCATCTAAAGCTGTTTGTTTCACTAATTTTACTATTTCCTTCATATCAACAACAGAATCTCTAGTGTTATCAATCTTGTTTAAATCTGGCCAAATATTTTTCCACGCTCCTTTCAAATATTTTTCCATTGCCTCATTCCAAAAAAGATTTATGTTTTCTATAGCATCCATGATATTATAGTTCCTTCAAAAGTCTCTTATTGATTGTTTATCATCTCTGTCTGTTTTTCAAACATTTGTCTAAATGTTCATCGCAGGTAATAAGATTAAAATTTGATATAACACCTTGATCCAGTGGTTAGATTAATGCAGTTGTGTTAGGCGGTAAAAAAAAACCACTTTGACTGGAATGCATGTTATTAAATCAGATAAATTGAGTGGCTTGGAGCATTATCCATTAAAAGCAGCACTTTTGGTGTAAGTATTTTTATTTTGCAATAGCCTTTAATAGACAGGCAAAAATGTTCATTGAAGCAATTCTGAAAATTTTCATAGTTATCCATGATTTTTTATTAGATTCCCAAATTACAGGTAAAGTTGATTTTGATATTCCTTTTATCGCTCTTGCGTTTTTGGAATAATATACAAGAAGTCGCTTTAATTTGAAGTATTTGTTGGTGTTAGCATCCAGGAGAAGTGTTAAGCAATCTTTTGCAGGTTTAAATCCTGGTGCACATTTTCTTTTTTCATGGTATAGAAATGTATGTTTTGGCATTCTTTTCCAAAATAGGCCCATTACATTGACATTAAAAACTACTTCTGGAAGATAGTTTCCTCATTCAGTTATCATTCTTAATATCTCTGAGAATTCAGCCATCACTTTTGTAACTCCACTTGTTGCTTTTCCTGCAATCTGTATATTATGAAGATTATTGTTTAAATCTATTAAACCATCCTTGACTTGCAACAGAAATTTCATTTGTGTCACCTATTTTAATCTGAATGTGATTAAAAATTCTTCTCACTTTTTCTGTATAATAGCTTGGGTTAATGGCATATTGTGTTGAATTTTGTCAATCCACATGCGAAAGTAATTTTCCCATCTCCTCTATCGTATTATTTCTAGAACAGGTTATTCTAGTTGCTGAGGTTTTTGTAAATGTAGTTGCTGATGACACTATTTTTTCTTTATTCTTGAGAATTGTCTGTTTAGCCTATATTTAAGGGTGCCCCTTGGATTATCGCTAAGTTGTTATTTCATTTCTGGTAACCTGAGTAGTTGAATGTTATGGAAACCCTATTATGATGTAATTGGTTGCGTGAATTTGACTGATGGGAAAATATTTGTAAGGGCTTATTTGTGTGTTGGATGTTGGTTAGGAAGTACGTTGCTTATTTTGTGGTTTACATGGTAAAATGACTGAATGTGGTAAGATCAATTTGAAGCTTCTGTATGATTTGGAATGAAAGGGGAAACAAGTATTAATTGACTGTTATGTAAATGAAAGTTTACTTAGTAGCCATTATAAGTGTCCTGTTTGTACGAAAGAAATGCATGTGGTCGAACTCAGAGGATACCGGCACTACAGAGGATATTTTTTACTTTTATTTTTTAAAATTTATATGGCAAAGCCAGTATACAGATTCTAGTTTAAATAATTTTAACAAGTTTTTGGTTGCTGTTAAGGAATTTTGTGTGCCACAGACTGAACACACAGAAATTTCTAAATAAGGTAAATGGATATTTCCTTTACGTAGTGCTTAGATGCTATAAGATGAATTTCCTTTTTTATGTTATTTCATTGTTTGATGTGTACATGAACAAAGTCAAGGGATGTTGTGCAATTCTCTGATGCTTTTTTAAGTGAAAATAGGTCGATGTGTACATGGATACCAAGTGTTGCAACTTTCAGGGCCACAACGTTGAGGTTACAAATTAAATAATCACAGCAGGGATTATTAATATAAAGATTTTATATGGATATCTCACGCAAGCTGAAAACGTTACATTACTCTATCAAGTGCATACATATAACTGAGTGAAAAGGGAATTTTCCCGCTTAGTTCGCAGTTAAAGGAAAAAAATAAGAATAATAAAAAATAGTCCAATCAAATGCGGCGCTCCTTCTGTTGACTTCGCACAGCCGTTACGTAATCGTCTGTCTGCAGCAGCCGTTTCCAACATTCTCCCCCTCTTTGAGTCGACTTCAGGTTGGCTCAAAGACATACAGTACCTGGTCGAAGAGATCTAATCTCTGAGGCACCTTGATCACACGTCCAAATCTTGACACTTTGCAGGATGTTACTAGAGTCATTTGAAGAGTCATTAGAATCTGAATGCTCATCACTAGAAATAGAAGAAATAGAATTAGTAAAGGAGTTATTGTGTATGGGATCAGTGGGCATGTCCATTAACTGCACTTCGAATGGAAAGACTCGCTGAATGGGACAAAGCAGTGTACCAACTTGAGTCTTTAGTTTTACAGTTCTCACCTTGAAATCTTTCCCAGGAATTAGTTGAATGACGTTAGCTAAAGGCCAATGCATCCGTTTTTGGATGTCATCTTCTATTAGGACAATTTCACCCAACCGTAGCTCTGACGATAGGGCCAGAAGGCCTAAATATTCTTTTCTAAATCTATGCCTTAAATCATTAAGCAGTTTTTGGCGATGTCTAACCTGTTTTTGAAGATTTTTCGAATCGCAAAAATCAACATTGGGAACACTTAAGCTATGATTCTCGATGAGAAACATGGCTGGGAAACTCGATGAGAACATGGGAAAGTGGGATTGAATCATCTGAATTTTTGGACAGATAGGTAAGAGATCTAGAGTTAATTATTGACTCACAGTCGCACACTACTATGTACAACTCTTCGGTTGTAAGAACCGCGTTACCGAGTGTCCTTATCAACAGTTGCTTTACTACACGAACTAACCTCTCCCACCAGCCTCCTGAAAGCATATCTGCCGGGTTTAAATCACCTGGTACATGGTGCCAACACTGAGAAGGAATCAGATTGTTTATTTCTTTTACTCTATTCGCAACGAACACTGACCAATCACCACGGTTCTTAATCCACCAAAGTGCTACCATAGAATCACTCCATGCAATAATTTTCAAATCTGGCAATTCTAAGGCCGCATATACTGAGTGTACCAGTCTTGCACCAATGCTACAGGCCATCAATTCTAACCGGGGTATTGTCAGAGATTTTAACTGTGCTATCCTGGATTTGGCTCTGATCAATCGAACTTTGATTCCCACGGGCGTTGCAGTTCTAATGTAGACACATGCACCATAGGAGCTCTTACATGCATCAACGAATAGATGTAGCTCTGAATTCTCATTTATTTCTGCATATCGTGAAGTACTAATTTTCTCAAGATATTTAATTTCATCCTGCCATTTCTGAAAAGTTTTCTGAATGTTGTCTGGCAAAAGGGTCATACCATTTAAATTTCATAGTCCAAGCTTCCTGTAATAGTAACTTAGGTAACAAGGTA